GCCCTGCCTTGTCGTTCTCCTCGAATATACGGCATCGAAAGAAGTTTGTCACTTCGCCTCCGTCCGTCACCGTCAAGCTCGATTTGAATATTCCTGCAGTCACCCGGCGTTCAAGTCACTACAATCCCTCTTTATCCTCCCATATGGCGTATATATAGAAGGATCTAGCGGTAGACGTCAGGCCTGTGGCATCTGCTCTGCTCAATTGGCCCCTGGGTGAACACGCCAACAGCTTCGACTTTTTCCCCCCGTTGCTGCTGCCCCTGAGTGCCTCCCAGCACCTCTCTCCCGTTGAACCTTCGGCAGACAAGGCCAGCCATCCATCTGGCCTCATTTCTCCCGTTCCTCTGCAGCTTGCATATCTCACATACTTGACTTTGCCCCCTCAGAAAATCACTGCCTGGAAGAAAAAGTTGTCGATGAGATGTTACACAGACACATTTATTATTTGTTGATTAACTATAAAGGCTAACATACGAACTCTCTTTTTCTCCTTCCGATCTCTAGGAATCTTCCGTCTGTCTTGTCTGTCAAGCGAACATTCCTCTCCTTACGACTTGTCATCTTAGCCAGTCGTCTCGGAGCAGCCCTGCCTGGTGTCGAACAGTGGAGACGTTAGCTCGTTATTCACTTAGTCTTCACCTCTCACTCCCTCCCTCCCTCTTCGTCGAAGCAAGATCTCGTCCATCTTCTTCACCTCACCGTCAACTTAGATGCTGTGAGGTCCGTCGAATAGGGTTCTTATATACCCAGCCATACAACGCCAAACTGGGTACTTAGAACACCTCTCCCTCCCGTTGACACAGCCATTGAGCATTATACACCAAATACAAACAGAGAGAGGAAAGCTAACAGATGATAGCGCTTGTTCAAACTTCATATCTCGGTCTTCGACCGTTTTCAACGGCACAGATTATTGTCTGCGCCTGACTTTCTTTAATATTCCCCCCCCCTCTACTAATACTGTTTACGCTCCTTAATTGCATTTTTTCGCCTTGCGACTGTCTCTCCCTTGAACACCCCTCTCGTCGTACCATAGTTTTGCTAGAGCTTAGCAAAGACCGCACGCCGTTCATTTCATCTCGCCGGAAGTTACGCGGAGCGTCTCTTATAAAATCTTCCGACATTTAAAAAAAGTTCTTGTGCTCTTTTTCACGCCCTTCCGGAGACTGCCCAATCCGCACGTCCATCCAACATGGCATACCAACGTTGTCAGACGACGAATTTCCAGCCGTGCGATAGCTACTTTGTTGAGAGCTACGATCAGGATTATGTACAGCCACAGCCTCAAGTGCATCATCATCAACAACCACAGCAGCCACAGCAGTCCCAACAGCCTCAGTCCCATGTGAACCCACGGGAACATGCTCGGCTGCTGGCCAGGGAACGTCAGTATGCAATGGCAGATCAGATGTCACGGATGGCCACCGACGAGTATCAGGAGGACATCTTGGCACACATGCATGCAATGGACAATGCCACTCAGCCAGACGTCGACTCGATAGACATCCAGACCGAGATCCAGTGGTTTATGCGGCCGTACCTGCTTGACTTCCTCATCGAAGCTCATGCTGCCTTCCAGCTGCTGCCAGCCACCTTGTTCTTGACCGTTAACCTGCTTGATAGATACTGCTCAAAGAGAGTTGTGTACAAGAGACACTACCAGCTCGTTGGATGTGCGGCTCTGCTTATTGCCGCCAAGTACGGTGACAAAAAAGATCGTGTCCCCACTATCAAGGAGCTCAAGTCCATGTGCTGTTCGCTGTACGATGACGACATGTTCATCCAAATGGAGTGGCACGTCCTACAGACTCTGGGCTGGTCCATTGGTCACCCAACCGTCGACAGCTTCCTGCAGAACGCCGTGGTCGACACACCCTACGATCCCGAGGTCGAGCATCTTGCCTTGTACATTGCCGAGATCTCCCTGTTCCACCGCGACTTCGTCTCCAAGCTGTCGTCCGACATAGCCAGAGCTTCCCTCGCCCTGTCTCGCTGCATCCTCAACAGACCACAGGCTTCTCAGTCTGACTGGGCATCTAACTACGACTCACTAACGCTAGTTAGCCTGTCCCAGTACCTCCAGAAGCCATCGCACGTTCTGGCCCGAAAGTACTCTTCGGCTCATTACTCTCGCGCCTCCAAGCTTCTCGAACAGTTCCTTGCCCGCCAGGAGTCCATCACAAGTCGTACAACCCGCCCACGCCTCCGACCGACCGGACGTGCGAGTCCAAAGCTCCATATGAAGCTGAGGCTGGGTTGGCTACTCCTCAAAAGGCACAATGCCCGACTGTATCACATGGCTACATCACGCCACCTATTACGCCGGAGAATGATGCATTCGGTGTGCCAGGAAATCCCAAACATGGCCAAGGACGGAAGCACAATGCTATACAACTGCCCGCCCTCGCCCACACCAGCGCCAACCATGCAGTATACCGCACAACACTACGAAATGACAGACGGATCCGCCTACTCACATCATCGGCTCTTCCCACAGCCACCGACCCAAACTTTCAACCCCGTGTTCTAAGTCTACGAACACAACAAATGTCCTTGGTAGCTCAACAAAGAGGATACCTGCTCGGCCCGGTCCGACTGGGGCGCAAAGCTGCATCGGACCGGATTTACTATCTTCCTTTGGTTGGCTTACATAATTACACTGTTAAGCCTGACTAAGCAAGGAGAAGTAATATTTGATACCCCCATTTTGCCGGCTGGTTGGAAGTTCTCCCCCCTTTTTTTATCTCCTCGGCGTCGATGGTGAATTTGAAGACGTGGACTCTATGTCCCTTTGCTATGCTCACTTCCCTTCACCCTCTGATAAAAAGCTATGGTCAAACATTAGGGGCTTGTTCAACTACCGCCCACGAACAAGCAAAACAATACTATCTTCCCTCTCAAACCAGATATCTCCTGTTTATTCTAGCTTTTTATTCCCAAATCTAAAAACGGTTTCCAAGTAAGATTCCGAATCTGTTATTTCCTTTTTTTTCTCCCCAATATTTCATATGTTCTGCATCTCATAAGTCGCTTTCATCATTAGTATCATTTTATTGCCTTTTTTGTTTTATTTCTCTGCATTGCAAGCGTGATTCATCTGAATGTTCCATTTCGAAATCAGCTGTTTCCAGCCCTTGTACCATCTTACCACTCTCCCTTGCGAGCTAACCTCTTTTTTTTTTCCTGCTTTGCAAGATTGCCGAATATTTGTCTGAAGCGTTCCGTATCTCCTTGCAGCTGCCAAACAAACAACTCTTGCTTTCGTCCTTTTCCAGCACAGATCATTTGATTCGGCTCTTTTCTCTCCTTTTCTGTTCTCCATTTACCTTCTTTCTCTGACTCTTTTGCATTAACCCTGTGTGAGTAGTGTGGGATCTATTGCTTTCCTCCTTTTCCCCTTTTCTTTTTTTCTTTCCTTACCTCTTCCTTTCCATGGCTGCTACAATGCTTAATACTGTTTTGGATACCCTATATACCCTTATTCTCGACGCTGTTGTTGTTTATTGCAATGGTCACTTTTCCAACAATACCCCGATGGCCGCAACAAGCCGTGAAGAGACATTTCAAAAGGAGGAAGAATACCAAAAAAAGAGAAAAACCAAAAAAAGGCAGAATGAAAGAAGAAAATCGTTAAGGGGCCGAGGGGAGTTTTCTAGCGGACTACTACTACTACTTAATACCCGTGGAAACACCAGGGGACGAGGAAGAGATGAGATGGAGATCCAGAAGTGAGAGCAAGTTGAGCTGTTTGTCGTTGTACCAATTGATCGAGTCCGAAGAGAAAGATCAAGGGCGAAGGTCCAGAAAAAAAATTCGAAAACATAAAAAAAGCACACTGTTTTTTCCTATTTTTTTATTGCCCCCTTTTTACCCATCCCTTTCCCCTGCCTTACCCTCGAGATACATGTGTGAACCCCCTTTCTACAGAGCTGGGTGGTTGAAAGCAGAGACAGACTGAGTCGGAATTATTTAATACAAACTATCTCTGTCCGCGGTGAAACTTGCCTTGCCTTTGCCTTGCCATGACTTTTGTCTTCAACAAGTAACAACAATAAATGTAAGTAAAAAAAAGGAGAAAAAAGGAGAAAAATAAACTTTTAAAAGCGGGTATTATATAATCTTGTTATCTTACCTAAGCACATAAAAAGGTATCGGCTTACCCTTTTGGGTAGTCGTGCATTTATGCCGGACTTTTATGCACGTAATAACACTGAAGGGAACAACTTCCATCACTTTTGGCGCCAGCAACAACCTCGCTCCTCCTCGGTTTTACATCACCGAAGATGCAGAGACGCCCCATGACTGGCCATGCACGTCGTTGCCGGGATGCGCCTTGGCTGCCGGTCGCAATGTCTCTCTAGCTGGGACAAATAGCAAGAAATAAGAAACCCCAAGAGTGCTGTGGAGAAAAGGCAGCAGGCGTCCTCCGTCCTCAACGTCACTCCACCTCTCTTCGTCATAGCTGGCGCAGGACTCGTGAGCTTCCGACCGCTCATTCGTGGCTGATAACTGACTAAGAGAGCAATAACGTCCAAGATCGGCTGAAGGTACTCCGTACATGGAGGAACATACGTACACCCGGCTCCGGAAGGGCTCTGTTCGAAACGACAATCGCACTCAGGAACATATGGAGAAATCAGCGTATCATGGGGGTTTGCAGGGGCGATCTCATGCCGCACGTCCGCAACTCCCTGCGTCTCGCTTTGCCCGTCTCACGAGTTCATGGGCAAGGAAAAAGAGGGCGGTTACACACCCGAACGAACGCCATTAATACTTATAATATTATTCTGGACGGCCAGATATTAAACGGACCAGGAAAGAACCGGCTCGGGCCAAGCGCGTGTGGCGCCTGGGCATGTACTTCCAGTCCTGCCTCTAACGCAAGCTCTCTCTTGTCCCAGCTGAGGCTTTTTGATACGTGTGGCTGGGCATATCAAGCTGGTACACACTATAGACTATCTACATTGTAGGTGTTGCTCGCGTAGGAGCCCTGACGTGCATAAGCTGGCAAGATATATGCCTTGATTGCCAGCGCTATACGGGTACCCAAGAGCCTTGGGGCCTAAGCATCTGTCATTTTAGCCCACTCAAGGTGCGTGGATTCCCCGCTGGGCCCCTTATGTTCCAGACGCCGATCTTCTTGGCAACGCTGGTTAGAAGTGGAATTACTGGGCGACGAGAAGGCAGAGCAGGGGCAGAAAGACCCCCAGGAATACGGGTAACACCCCCCTTTGCAACGGAGCGTCTCCCTGCCTCGGGAGCAAAGTGGTTCAGCTCAATCACCATTCGTTATCGCTCTCTCTCCGCTCGCTACATGCTTTTAATTTACAAAGACCCTTGACTCCCTTCCGCTCGCTCGTGTGTTCGTTATAAACCTGCCCAACCAACCCTCTCTTGATATTATCGGCGTTGTTTCTTTCGGTTCTGGAATTTTGGGGCAACGAAATTTCCGGTTTTTTTAGATATACACCTTTTCTTTTCGATCCATCCCAGACAACCACCCCTACCAACAGCTCCTTCTCAGCTCTATCGCACACCTCTGCGTGCCATTCCTTCAAATCCTCCTGGCGGGAAGTTAAAAAGAAAGCGTCCGATTCACGCTGTCCGGACCTCGATATGTGCATTTTTGGTTAGGGGGAGATTGGGACTGTTTGACTATAAGATTGAAAAATGTTTCCGTTTTCCTTGGTTCTATCTCTCTGGCGGTCTATATTATCGTTGGTAGCAACTGGAGAATCCGGTCCTCCTACGAGGGATAATGGCCGGAATGTGAAATGGCTGGACGTGAGTGTACCCATGGGTTCGAAGATACACACGACCAGAGCGCTTATAATGGTTGGTTTTATAGGGCCTACGTGGAATCGCGTCGTTTCTCGTTATTCTCACCCATTTAGCACGAGCATGGGATTATGAGCTCTTCAGCGCTGGACCCGCCGAAGGAAATCCCCGATTGCTACAGCTGCCCATTCTGCGAATTCCATGGCAGGGACGAATAGGCGTCACCATCTTTGCTTTCTTGACGGGTTATGTTTGCGCTTTAAAACCATTGAGGCTGTCTGGGTCTGGAAACTATAATGCTTCATTCTCTTCTATCGCAAAGAGCGCATTCCGCCGTCCTCC